ATATATATATATATATATATAGCGAAAGTCAGAGAATATGATCTTGCGCTTGCGCTAGAATCGATAATGCGGGAAATAACATCACATACTGTGTGATTTTGATAAACTAACGTTAACATTTTTCTCGTTTAGCAATTTCTTCTATTATTTGAACGTTTTGATACTATCGAAAAAGAGTTGAGTGAGTGAGCGAATGATCTGTTAACATTTGTTCTTGTTACTGCAAACTCAGAGATGTTGTTTCCAATTTTCCAGAAATCTTTTCAGTAACTTTTCTAGTTCATATAATTGTATCTATTTTTGGTTATGCTGATGTTCTTTTCTTTCTTTTTATGAACATGTCTTAAAGACTCTGTGCTTTGCTTTTTATCTTGTAAATTTGTTAGTTAACAGAGAAATACTGAATATTTCGAATTTTAAATATGTACACCAATTCGATTAGAATCTTCACATCTATTAAAATGCTTGAATTACGTTTTTTATGTGACGTCAGCAGAAAGTAATACTGACAGTGGTGATATCACTAGAACCAAGAGTTGTAAGTATTAGCTATCGTAGTAGGAAATGTTGTTATGGCCATGTTGTCGTGATAATTGATTGGTAGTGAATAAATGAAGTGATAATTGTCGCTTTCTTAATCGTTTGTATCTGTAGTGACCTCCAGTTATCCATAATGTAAATTGATAAGTTGCACCAAAATACAATTTTAAAGAAAACAGTGACTGAATTTAAACTGGAAAAACTGGATGAACTTAGGAATTTCGTGTGATGTTGTGGAAGGTGATGAAGAATGCATTTCAAAGCAGGAAAAAGCACTAATTTCCTCAAAATTCGTGTGTCGTAAAACGGGTCTTTTGATAAACTTGTGCCATATATTCATCTATTTCTTCTTATCATGTTTTTTTTTCTTTTTTCTGTATTTTATTTGAAGTTGATAATTAAAAAGATCACAAAATTATGTATATATATAGCTGAGGTAAATAAAGAGCATCAAAAACCTGTTAGTGTTTGAGTTGATTATTAGTAATTGCTATTATGAAATTGACTTTAATGTGCTGATCATAATAGCAGCACTGGTAATACTGAGGTGTCATTTTCAGTTGTAACGGTTGATTTTCCCAAGCATATGTTTGTTAACGTTTCGCTACTTCTCATTATCAGCTTCTTATTTGGATTCATCAAAACAGAGCTCACTCTCCATAATCAAAAGCTTGAATGGATTCTTGGCTCATGGCGATCGGAATTTTCTGGAAAGGTCTTTTTCTCAGTACATCATGGTTCTATATCCTCGAAATAAATGAATAAGTTTTCGATATTTTTCTCTATCATATTGTATAAGGATTTTTTACTGATTGAAATTTGCTGTTATTCATTTAAAATGTTTGATTTGTTTAGGTTTTTTGGCCAACAGTACCTACTATGACATTTGGTGAAGAATTAATTATAGCTGAAGCACCACTTGCCAAATCCGTCAATGTACAGTTCCTGAATTTCAGGTTGGTTCTATGAATTCACAAAACTCACATTTTAAGCAGATCAGCGAGAAATTTCAAACCAAATGCTTTGAAAATGATCTTAATTTGTGCAGCTACGTCTACTTTTTACAAGAAGCTTCATAGTTCTTAGTGCTACGTTAGTCGTTTTCACTGCATTTTACATTAGCATCAAATTTTATACTGTATAATTTCAGTTCCTGCAAAGGCAATATTATTTTGCTCCTCTGAGATATATACTGTTAAATCCACCAAGTACATCCCATTAAATGCAGATTGCTTTTGTGTATACTATGTTTTTGGCTTTTATTCTATCTCATGACGCATCATTTGTCATTCATAAATTATGACGTACAAAACTTCTGATCGTTTGATCTGCTGTCGAGGATTCACAAACATTTAGAGAAAAATTTTATAAGTTTTATAATTTTGTTCGCTGAGCCATCCTATAAAGCCGTTAAAAAATCATATTAACGTAGCTTCTTTTTCCATTGTTTTTCAAAAACGAAATTGAATGATGCAATATATCTTCAAATTATGTAATGCAGTGCAGTTTTATTAAATTTGACCTAATAGGACTGCCACTTTCTATAGAGAAAGGAAATACATTGAAATGATTTTTTACTTCGTGTGAAATTATTCATAAAAAGTGTCTCATTACGTCTAAATACCATCAAAATTTTTCCTAAATGCTATGTCTATATTTTTTCACTTAAATATTTACTTTGATAATGAACATGTGGATGTTTCGGATTGTTTTGTTCCACTATAAATCGGGAAGTTCCAAATTTTGCTGAAGCGGGTGTATCCTAATTTGATTCAGAAATCTTGAAATGTAAGTTGCAAGTTCTGGAGGGACTCGAAATAGTGAAGCGTGCAAAAGCAGGCATAATTTCCGTATATAATTCAAATCAAACTGGAAGTTCAAGATATAGTTCTTATTATTCACTTGTACCGTAATTTACATAAAACTACACTTATGAGATCTAACAACTTTAGGTCAGCATCAAGTCCGAACAAAAATGAATGATAGGAAACTAAAAATGAAAGTGTGAAATGGATCAAACAAGATCTAGTTAGGCGCCTTTTTCTCATTTCCTTTATTCGTCTCGTTTCCTTTTCATCTATCTCATTTCAACAGTAATTTATTTCAACGTTTTTGTCATACTCGAATGATAACTTGCATTCTTTGTCAATCTTTAAGTTCTTTAGGAATATTTTTCTATTCAATGGTTTATGAACACTAGTTTTTATGTTCCTCTATTTAAAACTGTAATGAAAATGAACACTTTACTGCCTTCATTACAGCGAAAATATTTTACTGACATTGTTAGTAGAATGCTGTCGTTGCTATTCTATTATGATTTCTCCTTTCGTAACAAATTTGTTTTCTTTTCAGTGCTCGTGCTTGGTCTCATACAACAAAAGACCATTTTCATGATGAGTGGGGTTTTATTACTGTTGATCCATCTGGAAATGCTACACTAATGACTGCAGGAAACAACGGTAGATTAGAAATAAAAATACTGTCAACTCTCATATAATACGAATGCTGAGTTATTAAATGAACCAAACAAACAATTATCTCAATATAGGCGTTTCTGATTTTGCATACTAGCAAATATCATGTATAATGTAATGTTGTTACTTTAACTGCAAAAGCCATCATACATGACATTCTTTTTTTCTTACTATTTATGAAATTTACTTTAATCATATACTTTTTTCTGTGACACACAGGATTTACAACATATGAAGTGGGAGAAGTAGCTCCAAACAAAATGATTTTGACATTAAGAGATATCGGTAGGATTTCGTTCTCCAGAGATCTTCCGGTTGAAGATGTGAGTTTTTTTGAAATCAAAAGTAATATTCATTGTTTTCTGTATATGACAAGTTACTATGGTTTGACGAAAGTCTTACACAATACTGTATTCTCATTTTTCTTATGAAGATAATGTAACGGGTATTTGAGATAAATTGCTCGCTGAAAAAAAAAACAAACAAAGAATTCGTATGCAGAGTGATGAACATTTTCCGGAACTGATTAATTTCACAATACCTTTGAAAGTAACAAGAATGAATATATAGTTACGAAGAACCTTCATTAAACACGACGATCAGTATTTGGAGCAAATTATTGAGATGCGAACAGCAACTCATCCTAGTCATGGCTACTTGGAGCATACCAGAGTGATCTATGCCAAGCAGAAGTAGAACAAACTATTAGTCATTAATTCGAACTACCTGATTGTAATATGTGCTAATAAAGTTTGCAGCTTTCAGTAGTATCATTTTATTTACTCATTGTGCAAGTCTCAGTTCAAAGCAAATAGTTATAAAACAAATTACGCCGTTAGCTGGCAAGGTAAGTAAGACTCAAAAGCACTCACTGCTTAAAGCATTACATATATTTCATAGACATTGAAGCGTGCGCAGGTGAAACAAGTCGGACAAGAAGTATTTGTCAGGAAGTTTTCCAATTTTCCCTTCTTTATTATGGTAACCAACAAAAACTTGAAAAGCTTAGTCTTCAACTGTATGACTTGACTCTATTGTTGCTATCCTGACCAAGGGTTGATGGGGAAAGGCTTGATTTAGATCCAGCCTGCCTACTAAAATTAATTGGTATTTCTTCACTCACAATTGACTATTTTATTCAAAATTTAGCAAATCTAGTTGCGAACCTCTCAAGCTCTTTCGAGTCGCTCCATAAAACGTTGATTGATCATTTGTTTCAGGATAATAACACGGGATAACAGTTGTAGCAATAGTTTACTGAAATTACAGAATATCCGCTGTTTTAATCACGCGAATTGTAAACTTTATAGTTGTGGATAACAGCTGATCACTTCGTGATTAACAAGAGATCTGATGACGTTTATTATAACTCACTCCCAGAACCAGTAAACTCATAATATTCAATTGCTGATCCAATTTTCAAACATAATTGACCTCTGGATTTGTTGACACAAGCAGACGTTCCAGCTTCACTCTTTCTTTTCATATCCCTTGAAAAAACAAGCCTACTCTGTTCAGAGATGAAGTGAACAAATTTACTTCCGCTATTATAAAAGAGAAACACGTATACAGTAACAGATGGAACTGGAAGTGCAGGAATTTCAATTACTGCCTATAAATTACGACAGACAGCAGTATGTTATCGATATTTATTCACTCTTTCTTGCAAGCAATGCTTTATTAAGCAAAACTAGTGCGAAAGAAACTGCACCTCATCTTTTCTTCCCCGACAGACACACGCACACAACACATAATAAACACATAAAAACCTCACAGATAGTGGAAAGTGATGGGACGAGTGAAATTGGTGCAGTGCACTGCAGAATTCCTTATTGACTTTTTACATTTTGCTACCCCAATCCGGTCTGCACACGGCGTATACCTAACCAAATACTAGTCCCCACACCTGACTGCATGGACAGAGCGTCTCATGCCTTACAGTAATGTATAGTTTCGGTAAACTGAAAAGATGAGGCTGTGTACTGAAGTCAAGTCTTAAGAAGAAGCTGCTAACTCTGTGCATTCACTGGCTACAATCTCGCTGGGACTCAGTTAATTGTACTTTGTATGGAAAGCAAGTACCACATCACACATATATCACACACATTCGCCATGCAGTGCTGTCATGCAGTCTTCTAGATTTATTGATACAAATATGCAGTTTGCATGCTCCTTCATCCATCATCTTTCTCTGCTCTCTGCTGTTATCATAGTAATACTTGCAGTGGAGAAGGGATAATAACAGGCATCAGTAGTAATACATAAGAGGCCTGCTGCTCTTCCCACCGTTGCTTACATAATCATGTAGAACAAATAATCGTTTTTTTGGACTTGGTTTTATCTCTGAATTTTCAGTAGCTATTTAGCTGCTGTTTTTGATATGGTGTTTACTGGCACAACATTGGTTCAGTATTTTCGGTCTACTAATGATATTTGTTAGAACGTGGAAAGTGCAGCGAAGTGACATTCTACTTTTGTGTCATTTGTTGTTGATTAAAGTGGGAACTTTTAAACTGAAATTGCCGGTCTTAAAACTGAAGATCGAAACATCGCATTGGCTTAGTGTATTCTTTTATCTCTATCATTTCCAAATGCTAGCAAGTTTATATTATCCAAAAATTCGTCTTAATTTAATTATATTCTGCATTACTTAGGCAACACTATTATTATTATTATTATTATTATTTACTACTGTTATTTATTATTATTATTGTTATTATAATTATTATCATTATTATCATCATTGTTGTTTATCGTTACTATAATTATTGTTATTATCATTATTACTGCTAATATCACTATTATGTTTATTTAACTTTAAATTAAGCTTACTCGAGAACCAGGTTTTGTTAACTGTTGATCAGGGAAGAAGTAGTGGTTGTTTTGATAGTGTAAAATGCCGGCTGTCAAAGGAGATGGGATGCGTGGTCTTGCAGTCTTTATCTCCGATATTCGAAATTGTAAGAGTAAGGAAGCGGAATTGAAACGGATTAACCGAGAATTGGCAAATATTCGCAGCAAATTCAAAGGTATTTGTTTCCAGTTTTATCAATGAGAATAACCATATATAATTAAAACGCAATAAATTGTTCACAGAATCAGTTTTTGAATTTCTGAAATCATTTATGAGGTTCGCAGTTCTTTCAGAGATCCTAACAATGGCATATTTGATTGCAGTATTTTGCTTTGCTGAAATCCTGCAGTTTCTAGCAGTTCAAAGATTTTTTTCGAAAAATTATTAAGAACTTATACAGGTGATAAAATGATTGATGGCTATCAAAAGAAGAAGTATGTTTGCAAACTTCTGTTTATTTTTTTACTCGGTAATGATATCGATTTTGGCCATATGGAAGCGACTAATTTACTAAGCTCGAATAAATATACCGAGAAACAAATTGTAAGTTTTATTTTTAATTTGGTATGATTTAAAAAACAAGATCAGCTTGTGCATTTGACATTTTGAATCTACAGTTTAGTAAGTACCATTTCACCCTTAAATACGAGTACCAAAATAACATTTCCCTTTTCACTGATTGCTTTTCAGGGTTATCTATTTATTTCTGTCCTGATAAACAATAATTCTGACTTGATTAAACTGATCATTCAGTCGATAAAGAATGATCTTCAGTCGCGTAATCCTGTGCATGTTAATTTAGCATTACAATGTATCTCGAATATTGGGAGCAGAGATATGGCTGAAGCATTTGCTCAAGATTTGCCAAAGTTGCTAGTTTCTGGGTATTTTTTAAAACCAAACTTTTTCAGTAGAAAGTCTTAGATTACATTCCGTTATCTTCGATATGCTGATTCGACATTTTGTGCTTAATCAAGCAATCATTTTCATGTATGTCAGTCATTTTTCTTCGTATTCTTTTCATTAGGAAGAATATTTTAAGAACGCGTTTTCAGTGACACGATTGATTTTGTCAAACAGAGTGCAGCTTTATGCTTGCTGAAATTATTTAGGTCATGTCCAGATATTTTACCGCCAAGTGAATACTCTTCTCGCATTGTTCATTTATTAAATGACCAACATTTGGTAGGGATTCATGTGTTCTTCAAAATCTTTTACGAGACTTTTTTGCATTTCGCTTTTGTATTGCTTGTTCTTCCTGGTCTTTCCTGTGCATGTAGTTTATATCCACAATATTTTCCATCAAATTTGTGTTCTCGAAAGTTCATTATTCCTTTTTTGAAGTGAAATTAATCACTTCCTATCGCCAATTTTATTTCCACAATAATATTTTGACTTAGATTTATTTTCAATAGTACATAGGGTGTTGTTACATCGGCTGCCTCGCTAATTGAAGCACTGTCCAAAAAGTGGCCTGATGAGTACAGAGGGTGTATTTCTCTAGCTATTTCTAGATTAAGTCGAGTAAGTGTTTGATCTTCAATTTTCCTTGTGTCTTTATGATCTTTATCCTTTTTTTTTACTACAAAGTAATAACTTGGTATTTCATAGTGATTTTGCTACGCAACTTTCAGTGAATTTGTTACAGATTGTTACTGCAGGTTACACAGACTTGCAAGACTACACTTACTACTTTGTTCCCGCGCCTTGGCTCTGTGTTAAATTGTTGAGATTGCTTCAGAATTACCCTCCTCCTGGTTAATTTGTTTGCTATATTATTTCATTCAGTTTTATTCTAGTTTGGGAGGTTCATTTGCGCTCATGAAATCAGCTGGATATATTTTCTAAAAATAACTACAGTGTTGCGTCAATTTGATAAAAAACCTGATTGAAAAGCAGTAAATTCTTTCATTGGTACATGCAGCAAAGCTAAGACAGGTATAAACAACCGACATAGTCAAAGAAAAATATTTTTTCGAATTCAGTTGTAACAGTATAGTTTATCCAAGCAGTTTATCGTATTCAAAAAATTTAACGAAAAAAATGTCTATGACCTTTGGCGTATCGGTTGGATCTGCTGTGTATTATAGTCTTTTTCAGCTGAAGGATTCTATAAATTCACGGACATCGTGTCTTATGTTAATCAATGATTATGATCTTTTCAGTTAAAATTGTGGCATTTATTAATCAGTTGCAGAAGATCCCAGCAACAAATCGCGATTAATGGAATGCCTTGAAGGGATTTTAAATAAAGCTATGGATGCTCCAAAGTCCAAAAAAGTGCAGCATTCAAATGCTAAGAATGCAGTTCTTTTCGAATCTATAGCATTAATCATTCACATGGATACAGAGCCAAGTTTGCTTGTTCGCGCTTGCAATCAACTTGGCACTTTTTTATCTCACCGGGAGACAAATTTGAGGCTAGTATAAAGTTTTAATTTTCATTTATATTTCCATTTGATTTCCTGTCTTTTTTAACATTTCATCTTCCGAATACTAGTAATTTTTTTTATTTAAAGTCACTTAAATATATAAAAAGAGTATAAAGTACTGCCATGAAATTTTTTCATGGCAGTACTTTATACTCTTTTTATAAATCTAATAAAGAATGTTGGTGTTATTTAGTATGTAATATTTTTGTGTAATTTCTAGGTAGTTCGTATTTTTACAATATGTGATATTGATTTTAGGTATTTGGCTTTAGAATCAATGTGTTTATTGGCTACTTCAGAGTTTTCACATGAAGCAGTGAAGAAGCATCAAGAAACTATCATTAATAGTTTAAAAACTGAAAGAGATGTGTCGGTTCGACAACGTGCTGTTGATTTATTGTATGCTATGTGTGATCGGTTAGTAGTTTAAATTCAGATCAGTTGCTGTAGAGGTTTTTTTTTTAGGCTTTTCAAATATTACTTTTTATTTTACAAAAAACTTTCTCTCCATATGTATTAGCAGTAAACCAACAAGTATATTATTTTTTCATTTTCATATTTGTAGATCAAATGCTGCAAAAATTGTTTTCGAAATGTTATCTTACCTTGAGACAGCAGATTATTCTATCCGGGAAGAAATGGTATACTTATATAACTTGAATCTTTGTATTGAGCCCTATTGCTTCACTTTTTAATCATTTCTGTATTTTGATTCCTTTGTTTCTGGTCATTCAGGTATTAAAAGTTGCAATTTTGGCTGAAAAATATGCTACTGATTATACATGGTATGTTGACGTTATTCTGAAGTTGATTCGAATAGCTGGTGATTACGTTTCGGAAGAAGTTTGGTATCGTGTTATTCAGATCGTAGTTAATAGAGAAGATGTACAGGGTTATGCTGCAAAAACTGTTTTCGAAGCATTACAAGTAAGAAATATTGCACTATCTTTTCAAATTCCGAAATTTTTGATGTAATTCATTAACTTTGTTTTGCTTCGTTTTTTTATTTTTCACTTCTTGTAATCAAGAATTGCTCGAATTGAAGTAATTTCAGAAGCCAGCATGTCATGAAAATATGGTCAAGGTTGGAGGTTATATATTAGGAGAATTTGGAAATTTGATAGCTGGGGATGTTCGATCAGGGTGAACTACGTTTTGTTCACTATTTTGTTAACTATTAAGCTGATTTCCTTTTTGTTCTTAGAAATTAGTACTCAAAAATTGCCAATCCCTTCCAAATTTACTGTGATTTATGTTTAATTTTCAGTCCACAAGTTCAATTTGAACTTTTACACAGCAAATATCATTTGTGTTCTATCGCAACGAGATCTCTTTTGTTGTCCACATATGTAAAGTTCTGTAATCTATTTCCGGAAATAAAAGGATTAATTCAAGAGGTAAGTAAAAAACTTAGGTTTTAAAAATAGATTCATATTTAATATTTATGCATTTTAAGGTATTCTGTATGGATCATAACTTGCGCAATCCTGATGCTGAACTACAGCAGCGTGCAGTAGAATATCTTCATCTGTCTAGACTTGCTTCACCGGACGTTCTTGCAACTGTAATGCATTTCATCATTTTATTCGCACATATTTTCTCTTACTTACGATGCATTTTTCTTGTACAGATATTAGAAGAGATGCCTCCGTTTTCCGAGAAAGAAAGTTCATTGCTTGCAAAGTTAAAAAAGTCGAAACCTCATGTTGAAGAGCTAGTAAATCAAGCTGTCGAAAGAAAACAGTATTCCATTGCAGTAATGAGTCAGGTGAGATTTTTCTTCTCAGTTTTTACTTGTTTTGTGCTGTGTTACTGAAAATATTCTTAGCTTTTGCCATCATTAGGGATAAACCAAAGTCTCTTTTCCAGATCCCTGTGTTTTAGGACACAAAACAGGCACCAAGTCAGTTACTAGACATCAGCTCAGGCGTAGATTCGAGAACTTTGGTTGACATGTTCGGCCCTATTTCCGTAACTGCAAATGGTGTATCATCTATAAGTTCTAATGAAGAAGCGACTGTTGTTAATTTTCCTGATGTCTTGAAGTAAAAATTTTCAATAGTGATCTAAGATTTGTTTGTCATCATCATACTGTAAAAATGTTCAACGCTCATGTTTACATATTTAACTAAAAGTTAAAATATATCTTTGATATGGGATGATTTCACTTTATAGATTTGCAACAAAAAACAGTGGTGTACTTTATGAAGATTCAACAATTCAAATTGGGTTTAAATTAGAAACCCGTGCCAATCTTGCGCGCTTGGGCATGTTTTATGGCAATAAAAGCAATTATTCGTTCTCTGATTTTAATGCAAATATGTTTTGCTCTGGAGTATTGAGTAGTCAATTAATCACCCAGGTATTATCTTATTTTACATTCTAATAAATTCAGTAGAAGCTTTCTTACTGAAGTTATGAGCTTTATTCTTATATAGTTATGATAAAATGATGCTGTGAGGGTTATTAAGGTAATGGGAACTTTATTTTGTAGAACTTTTACATTAAACAAACTTAATTTATCAAGTTCTTACTGCAGTGCAAACCGGTGGATTTTATTATTACAAGTGGGTCACAAGTTCAACAGTTAATCAATTTTGTATGTGAACAAGAATTTAACCAATGTCCCGTTCTTCATCTCGTTTTTAATTTTTTGTAAGTTTATTCTTTTCGTCGCATCTGCTGCAATCTATTGCAGATATGAAGTAGATGAGTCTTATTTCGCAAAAGAATGTTCAGTTTTTTATTTATAATTAGTAATTGCAATTTTCCTTTTAGGTGGAAAATGAAGGTAAAATCAAGTTTTTGTTTTTCATTCATTCCATGATTAGCGGTGAGGTTTGCATTGTTTCATGGCTTTACAATATCTGAAACATACTCGTTTTAGTGATGATAGCAACAAGCGACATATATTTGACAAGACTTTTGCTCTTCCAATCTTTATTAACAAGTTTTTCGAACCAACAGATATGTCTTCAGAACAATTTTTTTTGCGTTGGAAGCAACTCTCTCAGTAAGTTGTTTTCAACTGTTATTTGCTGTTGGACGAAGATATCTTGAATAAGGCGGAAAAAAGATAAAAATAACATGTTGTAGATCGACTCAAGAGAATCAAAAAATATTTCCCGCAAAAATGACAATTGACAAAGAACAAATCCGAACAAAGGTGACTTAGAGTTGCTTTGACAATGTCATAATTTTTTACTATCCAAAGCTTAAAACTGTAGAGTTTATCATTTTTCTATGTTTATGGTAGAGCGTATCATCTGAAGTAGTGCCAGCTTAATAGATTTAATTTTCCTGCTAGCTCATACATAATATTTGGTGAATTTTTACATATATTTAACGTGATTATTTTAGATTAATTATTTCTATTAAATACATTTCTTAATGGGTATAATTTATTACCGTTTACAGTTGATTGGTTTCGGCCCTCGATTATTACAGGACGTAGATCCTAATCCTGAAAATTATGTTTGCGCTGGAATAATCAATACCAAAATGCAACAGATCGGTACACTTATCCGTTTAGAACCGAACAAACAAGCTAAAGTAATTGAATTTTTGTATTTAATGTTTTTTGGCTCTTATTTTTTTAATAGAACATTTCAGGAATATAAGTTTGTTTTGCGCATATTCTTTTTCAAGCTGTGTGGTAAATGCATAAATTGAGAGTTTGACGTGGCGTATTGGCTTGTAGGTATTCTTTTGTGTATGATATGACATTAATAGTCTAAGGTGTAAATTTTGGGAAATAATTTTTTACTTTTTTAGTAAATACTGTAGGTAAACGATCATGTCTAAACATTTTTTACTTTGGTTTTGGTCTTGTGGGAGATTGTTGTTAGTCGGGTTTTGAAGTTTTTTGTGTTATCCTTGACACATAGATGGTATTAAGTGGAAACAGAATTTTGTAGGATTAGATAAGTGGTAAAAGGTGATGAGAGCAGTTATTGAAGCTCGATAGAGACACATATTTTTGATGTGTCTGTGATATTTTGTAGTGTTTGCCACTCTTATGCATCTGATATTGGAGTTATGGAAAATGCATCTGATATTGGAGTTATGGAAAGTGGAATTTATGAAGTGGTGAGATAATTTTATTCAGCTTCATTTCCGCTGCTAATTAAATATTTGCAGATGTATCGACTGACAGTGCGGAGTTCACGTGATACTGTTGCAGGTCATTTGTGTGATATTCTTTCACAGCAATTCTGATTTTTCTTGTTATTTCGTACCGTATCCTAAATTTTACTGTATTATTCTCCCGTTTTCAGTATTGAAGAGATTTCTTATTGGTTAGAGCTGTCTTTATGTTCGGACTCACAGTTAATATTTGTGCATCCATGCAAATATATTTTTTACTTTTTGGTTATATATACATAAATAAGTTTAAGTAAAACAATATTTTATTTTATTATAATCTTTTAGTTTTCGGAGTTAGGAAAACCGAATGTAGTTTTTACTTTCTTATTTTGTCAGTTAAGCACTTAGCATCTGTGTTCCGTGCAGAGAAATTATTTCACTATCGTTCCAGTTTTTAAATTCATTGTTATACAAGTGAAATTCGAAGGGCTTTTTAGCATTTTCATGTGTCATTTTGTTATTTTTTGGAGTAAACATGTAGAAATTTCATGTTTGACTATAACTGTATTTATCATTTTCATCCGTATCAAGGATTTTAAAATATCTTTGCAACAGTATTTTTTTTTGCGACTTAATAAAGTTATGCTACTGAATGTCAGTACTGGTAGTCAGGTAGTGATGTTGGATTTCGTCACTTTGTTTATGAATGTAGTAATGATTAAAGAGATGCATGGGCAAAAAGAGTGTTAGGATTTTATGAAAATGATGTTCTTTTTAATTCGTGGGAGGTAGATCGAGGAATTCTGGTGATACAATAAATAAAGTAAAATGGTCTTCAGATCATTCACAGACAGTAGATTGATTGTTCATTGTCTGCATTCCTTGGGTGGTAGCAACCGCTATCTTTGGTTATCTGATAAAGAGCTTATGGCTCAACAAGACGATTAGAGAGGAGGTAGGCTGTTACCGTTGTAGATTCTCTGCTGTATTTCATTTCCCATCATGGTTTCTTCATTGGTTTCCAACGCAACCATCATCTATTACAGGTGATGCTTCTCAGATACCGACCCACGCTGACATATTAAGCCTTTGAATACACCTAGTCAGGTCACTGTGGCTAGCTGAATCGAACGTCTTTCTTTACGACATACCACGTGGTCCATAGCTGGTTTCCAAGCTCTCTGCATATTGCTTTTTCACACTTTCATCGTGGTCGGCATTTCGTAATTGGTTGCCATAACGGTAATAGTAGTAAATAAACTCTAATTCAATTACGCAAAACTACTTTTATTAAATTCACTGGATAGATATGTCCAGCAAACTGATCGCATTTTTTGGTACTTGCAATGTAGACTTAGAGAATGTGGATGTGATGTTTATTTTCGACCTTCTCTGTGATTGGTAATTCAACAATAAGGGTCAAGTTGGTGTCATAGCACGCTCCAAATATTGCATAGTTGTATGGGCGGTTTAATTCTTTGTATTTCTACTTTTATTTGTGTAACTAATTATATTTGTAATATCAGCGCCATAGTTTAAAAAGTTTATTTGCTATAGAATGACACTGTTACTACAAACGACATTTAAATTTTTAACGAATGTAAGAAACATGGTATTATGTGAAATGTGGCAGCTGGTATGATTAAAGCTGATAAACTTATGCAATTAAACTACAAAACAGTGGACAGCCAAATTACTCATGCACAACTTTTCTTCTTCCACTCTCTCTATTATATTTCTTCATAAGAAGCAAATTTGGTAAACATGGAAATTATGTCGAAGTACGTGACATATGTTACAATCACTGTAGAGGAGCTGCAAACTTAAATGATATAAGGAAATGTTTTGAGGAAAAACGTTTCTGGATTAAATGCATTAATCTGGCAGTAGTATTATAAGCATATACATAACTTGAATTCATTCTACTTCTAAGTATCTGTGTTCTTTATTTGTTCTACATGTTGAAACCAGATTTGCGCATGCGGAATTTCTCCGTGGAAATATTGCAGCTGTGTTTCAACATAATATGAATAAATGACAGGAAAAAGAACACAAAATTATTCGGCTCACTGAAGATTAAAAAGAAAAATAGTGAAATTCAGTCCGGTTTCTTTCAATGCCTTCACTGCAAGCATTAAAAATGTCTAAAATTTGTTTTTACAAGTCAAAGCTCTTTCGTTTTCAAATTTTAAATCTAATATACAGGCATACAATAGAATAATGATTGACTTGAACCCAGTAAATGTCTAATTTATTCCCAATATCGAAAGCCATGAAATGTCAGTAGATAACAGCAATGTTCATTCTTCATCGTTTTGCTCTGACAACTGTTAGATATGGATCAATGAAAAATACAAATGTAGTTAGTTAATTGGTAATTCAACGAAGCACTGTGGAATTAATCTTGAGATGTAACACTTGCTTCTGAAATAAAAACAAAAGTACAATAATATACTCATTACTGCAAATGACCGGATCCTTTTATCGTCTCTAATAACTCTTAATGATCTCTATGTAAACCGACTTTACTAGTGATGTTATTTTTCAATTTACTGGCTTTCATTACGATCACTGTTTTTGGTTGTTTTTCTAATAGCTAGAAAAATTATTTCCTGTAGGTACTTTATCGATATGTAAGAGAAGAAAAGGGATGAAAAATTTTTGATCGCTGTTTTTGAAAAACAATAATGGTGCCGCAAGCAGAATGATATAATATTAATTTGGTATTATACGCAACATCGACGTGGATGCAAATGAAAATGTTATGAAGTTGACATTAATGATCACATATTCACTCACCTTCAATTTCTTGAGAAGGTGCCAGAATTTCAACTTTGCTCCCATCGATCATATCACTCTCCACCAATAACGAATGATGTGATGAATTTGAAATATGTGATTCTCGATGCATAACATCTATAACCTTTTTGCATGAAACATTTCAACAAAATCACCGTGACATAATATTTGATACCATGCAACAGTAATTAAACGCTGAATTTTCTAGATATAAACCTTGATATTGTGTTGGCGTAGAAGCTCCAAGAGGCGGAGTAAGCGGGTTAGAAACAAAAGTTGATCGTATAAATCTTCTGCAACATATGTATACAGAAATTCGAAATTTTAGTTTCGTTACACTATTGAGTTTCATACTGCACATGAAAATAACAAAACTCACGTGGTTCCAGTCAAATAATCTTCTCCCAAATGGGGTAGTATTCCAGCACTGTGAAAGCCATTTCTTAACCCAAGATAACCACCACCAAGTCTTCCGATATCACCGGCTAAACATCTATCAACATAATCACGTCGACGTCTTCTCTCATTATCTAGTTGTTCTCTCATAATAGTAAGCTGATTCTCTAATTGCTTGATGCGATTTTGCTGCGTACGCTCACGGTTTTCAATTATTCGCTCAATCTAGAAAAAATTATAAAACTTGAAAATGAGTTGAAAACTGATGTCAAATTCTTTTACTTGAACATTTAAGTTAACTCTTACTTGAATTTTTTCATTCCTCATTCGAAGCATTTGTTTATCCTGTTCCTCACGTTGCTTATTGCTAATCTCCATGATTCGGTTTCCATTTTCAAGCTCAAGTTGAGCAATTTGCTTTTGCAACTGCGCGCAATTTTTATAAAGTTCCTGTAAACTTTACTGACTGCAAAACAATAGTATATGCTTCATTTGATTCTTGAATGAACTTGAAATCGTCGTCGTTGAAAAATTTTAACTTTTTTTACACTAAATCAGTGAGAGGATCATAAGACATGCAATCAATTACAAATTTCATAGATGTAATCGGACATACTGCATTCAACTTTTTCCTTATAGATCGAACCATAGTTGTAGTAATTACTGCTCATAAGTATAGTCAATCATCGCTACTAATAATTGGGAGGGAACCCAAAATAAATAAACCTTATTTTCTCTCTCCATGGCATTCAGTGATTTTTCGATAGCTTCACGCTGTAAAGCAGTCTCTCGAATAGCTATATCAGTGCGACGTTTCTCATTTTCCAACTGTAATTTAATATTTAATTGGTCATAATTAAATTCATACTCCTGCTTTGGAACTTCTATTAAAAAAATTGCATTGAGATATGAGACAGTAAAATAAGTAATAACTGGACAACTGGATCGTGAACGCAGTAACTGCAGTAATTACCATTTCTATTTTCTTAGTGAGAGCAGCTCGTTCACGTTTGATATTATCAAGCTGACCGACCATGATTCGTTTTTCATTTTCCCATTGTCCCAGTCTTCTTTGCACTTCATCAAACTCACGTTTTAAAGTATGCCGTTCACTCTTACAAGCCTCTATTTGTTTTCTTAGATCATCTTCCGTTGAACGTTGTGATGATATTGTCTTTTCAAAAGTCAAAACTCTTTCTTCAAGACGATTCTTCTCTGCAAAAGCATCTTGTAACTGACGCTGTAGGTCAGATACTCGGCTGGCTGATTCATGCAAGTGTTGCTTGTAGTCACGAAGTTCACCCCTTACAGTCACTAATTCATGCTCAAGTTGCTGCTTTTGATTATTGGCATTTATCAAATCGTTTTGCACTCCCGTTACCTATAATTTACGCAAACAAATTAAAACCATACAATAAAAGTCACGAACTATTACTGACTTGCAAAAATAGAACTATCAAAACAACAATATTTCTGTACATCAAAAGCTAATAAAGAAAAAAATGGCAATACCTGATCTCTCAGAATCTGATATTCATTGATTGTTTTTAATTGGAAGTCGGATGTTTTACGGAGCTCGATTTCAATGGTTTCAGCCTTCGAGAGTTCTCTCTTCAGTCTTTCAATATCCTCTTTCATGTCTGTACACTTTATTTCACTCAGTTGTAGCTGTCCAGATAATTCTTTTACTTTCTCATCCAGTATCTGAAACATCTAAGTGAATATTTTTTTCAATAACTATATAATAAATAAGAGAACAGATAATGGAAAGTACATAAAAAGTTCACCTGTTTTTCACTCTCAAGATTAGATTGCAATAACGTAAGTCGTTGAGTCTCACTTTCTTTATCGCGCAGTTTACTTTCAAGCTGGAATCGGTTGGTATCCCACCGTTCTTCATGTTCTCGTAAAATTCGTAAATCAGCCTGAGCAGTTTCCAAGTCATTACGCAAATTCTTTATCTGTTCATTGAGATGCCGTAGCTGTGCATCCTTTCCACGTGCTTCCAAATCGAATGCTACCATTTTAGCTTTCAGCTGACGTCGTTCCTCATCACGTTGCTTAAGTGCTTCCTCTTGAGAACGCAGAAGATGCTTAGCTGATGTCAGGCGGACTTCTAGCACACGTTTTTCTGTAATTCATTTCACACATTCAAAAGAATGATTTAAAACCTTAAAAATTATTACCTTCTTCCATTTCAGTCATATTTTCTTCGATTGTTTTGTAATGAGTTTCCCGTTTGTGAATTGTAGTGTGAGTATCACTTGTCTTTTTCTTTAGACGATCAAGAGCCTCCCGGTACTCATTACGTTCACACTCAAGTTTTTCGATACGACCGATCAATGTTTGAAGAGTATTTTCAAGCTGATTAATATCAAGTGTTTCACCGATATTGATTGTCGCCGCTGAAATATATCATATTCTCGTTGAGGACAATATAAATTTATGAACAGCATGCATCCCATTAAATGATTCATCCTTTCTCTGTAATAATCTATAATAAGGAGATGGCAATAATTATCGTTTCCATTCCATACTTCGATTTCTGAAATTAAATATGACAATGCACAAACCTCCACCTCGTCCTCCACTTGTGAAATCAACTGAAGGAAACGGCACTGAACGAATTATTTCCTTATCAGTCGTTTGATCATGATCAACACCAGCCTGAAATTTTTCCCCTCACGATTGATTACCCTTCTTACACTCATTTTATATTTCACTGGAAGACTTCAAAACAAGTGTAAATCTTTTTTCTGCTCACCTTTATTCGGTGCAGTGTTGCTGCATGCGTCGTGACAAAATAGAAGCGCCTAAGAGAATCAGCCATGATATCTCTTTCGTTTTCAATTTTATTATAATCCTGTTGTAATGACGTCAATCGTTGCTCTGTGTTTTCAAGCCGAGACTTAAAATATCAGAAATTGGCATAAATTCTTCATACTTGAATGCCGTAAAAAATTACTCTTGAATGAATATATCATGAGAAAAAAACCCTGCAATCCGTGGTTAAACAAACTTTTAGATCAGCCATTTCGTATTTTCTAGATTCCAGCTCTTGCAAAGCGTTGAGTCGACCATCTTCCGCCACCCGATGCGCATTAGCTAAGTCTTCTAGCGATGACTGATATTCATCTGTTTTTCGTACCATCTGATCCTTCCCAAATTGCAGCTCATGTTGCAATTTTGTTACTTCGGAATGCAACGCATTACGCTCAGTATCCGCCGCAATAAACTGCAAAAAAAACAATTCTTAAAAGAAAACACATACGAAAGTTGATTGTCCTTAACAAAATAGAGAAATCTTACTTTATCTGAGGTATCTCGAAGATCTTGACGCATTTTCTTCATTTTAGTGTCAAATGATTGTACCAGCTGCGTAAAGTGATCCAATTGTTTTATTTTTTCTCGATAAGCATTTTGTAATCGTTCTCGCTGAAGTGCTTCAAAATTTTTGAATTTCTTCAAGGTTGCAAATAATCTTAACAAAACCTTAATGTACATGGGCAACTCACTTCTGCTTTCTGATGATCCAAAACGTTTTTTTGCTCTTTAACTACAACCTCACACTGCTGAATTTTCCTTTTGAGACGCTCAAGCTCAGATTCTTGATTAGTATTTGTACTTCTAAGAAGATCATATTCTCGTTGCAAAACATCAAGTTCATTGCAAGTTTTGCTGTGTTCACTTTGTAACGCAGCAAACTGTTCCTCAACAGAACGCAGCCGACCTAATGCACTTTCTACATCTGACTCACGAGTCAATGCTGTAGATTTCAGATCTGATATTTCTTCCTCGAGACGTCTCACTTGCATGTTCACTATAATGTAGTTTCGTAGTGAGTAACCATTCTAACCACATAAATGAATACCATGAATGTAAAAAAAAAACTTGCGGTCTCGTATTTTTGCATTCTGTTCGTTAACAATTTTGTTAAGTGATTCAGCTCGTTCATTAACAGCCATAAGTTGCGCTTTTAGCGCATTATTTTCGGTTTCAACTGTTTTCATTTGAGACTGTACTTCATATGCATCAGTTTTCCACTTCTGTATTTCCTGAAAGAAACCACGACACAAATATATACACATGTGCTACATTACTCAGGCTTCAGTTTAAAATAATTGCGGACAATAGAATTTACTTGATCTGCGAAGTGACACATTATTTCTCCAATACTTTGTAGAAGACTCAACGAAAGCGAGAAATAAGCTATGTTTAATGGATGATTTATCAGTGTGGCAGCAAAACAGAAACATTGCCCATAAGATGAAGCGTAATAACATGTCCAAGACAAAATATATTTGAGGCTAAGAAAGGTATGTTCCAACATTGTGGGGAACGTGCGAAGACGATGGACCATCTGGCAACGAAATGCAAGAAAATGTTATATCATGACTATATTAGACGACACAATAAAGTGCTGCGGTGTATCCATTTGTAACTCTACAAGTATGGCGTGAAAGTATTTCCATGCATGAGAAGCTATACCGTTCAGGAGGTTGCCGCGAATGAAAACGTGGAGATCGGAGTCGATGTTAAAACAACTGTAAAGATAAATGCGGACCGATCGGATATCATGATCCTCAGTAAAAAGCGACTCAAAGTAATCCTGATAAAGGTTGGCTGGACAGGTTTGCAGCACTTGAGAACGAGAAAAGGCGCAAGTACGATATACTGATTCGTGGCGCAGATGAAATGCTGGACATGAATAATTCCGTACGTCATGGATGAAGCAAGAGACCATCTGACAGCAGAACAAATACAGCCAAAATGTCAGACTACGATCCAGCGCTAGAATCAGTAAAGTGAAAAAGAAGACTAACCTTCGTGTGACATTGATTAAATATATACGTATGTAATTCACAAAAAAAAAATAAACTTGACTATTTTACAACGAAACATATTGAAAATTAAATAACATTTTGAGCATCTTGTCGAGCATCATCCAAGTCATCTTTAAGCTTTTGAACTTGCGCTAATACTTGGTCATAGTTGCCTTTTAGTTCCAAATTATGGCGTTCTAACTGATTTTCACGATTCCGCGCTTCAGCAAGTTTTTTCTCAGCATCAGTTAATCGATTACGGAGTTCATCTTCCACAAGTTTAACTGATTCCAAATTCTGAAAATTATTTTGCTAAAATTCAACTTGTAATAGCACTATTCTAGTGCTCACAAAAATTTGTCTAAATTCTTCATAATACTGAAAACTATAAATCCACCTTATTGTACTGGTCTTTCTCATCATCCAGATCATTTTGATACTTGTCAAGAAGATGAGATATTTCTGCTCTAAGTTGGTCAATCTCTACTTGATGTTTATGCTTTAATTCTGCAATTTCTGTTTCTCGTTGCTGAATCTCACGATTATGTTCGACAAGTTGATCCTCGAAATCACGGATTTTGCGTTCGAATTCATCCTAAAAACTTTGTAAGCAATGATATATATATATACATGGTTAACATATATGTATGTGATTATATTACCCAATTCTGACGTAATCGTGGACTATAGACTATATCTGATCTTGAAAGAAACATTATATCTCTGTTATTTCTAACTTCTATTCATATTTTCGGTCCAACTTTATCTATCATGGCAATGCCATGATGCTACTATAGAAGTAAACAACGGTAATATCTATCAATGCAATCAGCTGCGACAACAAACGTTATAATATCCATAGTCAAACACATCAGAATGGTGAAAAAGGTAATAATACACCAGGACATTCCAGCAATCAATCAGACCAGTTAACTAATGGCTGGAAACGCGTTTCTGAAGAACCTTCCACTTTACAGCTGACTTCTAAGAGGCGGAAAGAAGCATAAAGATAATTCTAATATTAACACTTGCTGCAGTACTTCTGAAGGAGCAGAAATGAAACAAGGGACGAAGGTTGAAAAAGATATGAATGCAATGAATAAAGAGAAAGAAAAGACTTTTGGAAAAAGAGTTCGAAACCTTAAAGAAGAGAGCTCTGTTGCCTTACAGGCAGGATGTCAGAGCTCTGAGAAAAAATGGAAGATGATTGGAGACAAACAGCATCTTGAATCTTGAATCATAGTGAAAACAATGGGAAAGCAGATGAGGTTATGAAAAGCTCCGTGAAGGATATAAGAGAGCACTCTACCAATGTATCAAAACCAGGAAACAGCAGGATGACTACGCTTGAAGTACTCATTTCAGAAATCGAGGTTCCGCAGAGCAGCTGGCACACGAACTAATGAAGACGGTTCTTGACCGATTGAGATAAATGCCGAGAGAGTATGGTCCTTGTGTTGTTCTCTGTATTGCGATATGTTCGTTTGTGCAGTTAGTCTCCAGGAACTGAAAAACCAAGTGAATTCTGCGACCATCAGCATTGCAGGTCACTTTTTAAAGGAGACAATGAAGGGTGCCGAGGTAGCCGACTTCTTACTTCGAGTAAAATATGCTACATGAGTCTTTAGCTTATCTAGATGTAAAGAAGAAATATCATATACTGATGCAAAAGGCCCAAGAACGTGAGATATAGATAAAGTGGACGCGAAAATGTTGATCTGCTTATATTTAAAGCGGTAGGTGAATAGGCCACAAAGAAACCCCCAAGTTAGTGACTGATCTTGCAAGGCAGCTCTAAGGGGCACAACAATGCTATGAAGATACGATAAGACGGGAGAAGTCATAGAGGTGCAACGTAAGCACAGAAAAGAAGGTAAGTGAAAATAACATCTACAAAACACTCATACAGCGATATTTGGCTGCTGAAATACTTGAATGTAAAAACCTGAACGGAGCCGAGAAAGTACGTGAGATAGACCAGACAAAGTGAACGCGAAAAATAATCTCGGAGAAAATTGACCAGCTTATACTTGGAGCGGTAAACCAAGCAGCGGGTGAATATGCCACACAGAGCCCCA